TTTCAGTTACATTGGTCATTTAATGAATTAAATGCTCTGCATGAAAACAAAATGTTTAGCACTCCTAAAACCATTGCCTCATTTTAGAAATTTATTTGCAAAATTATGTTAAAATTATTTCAAAGACTCGAACTTGTGTGACTGACATGAACCTATTTTGAGGTTCAATTTAAGAAACATTTTAAGGTCAGAGTCTCCAAATATCTGTTTATAATGTGCATGTGCTCTACCTCCAGATGATGATCAAATATTGTTGCATGAATTTGTGAACCTGTGAGGGTGTATGTCTAGTACAGTCCATGCTTAATATGCTGGTAACTCACCTTCTGAAATCATTTTTACTATATACAGGTAGCACATCAGGAGGCTTCTGATTTCATACTGATCCAGGCGGTTATACTGGGATACACTACTCCTTGTAGAACTCTGTCGGGTCTATAAGGACAGGATGTTTGTGAAATAGTATCCGTACCACAATTTTCCACAGCCTTTAACTCAGTAACTCTTTTTTTTATCATTAGATCAGTTTGGGAAAATTCTAAACATAAATCTAAATTTTATATCACAACTTGAAGGTGAATGGGCTGAATCTTTCTTTCCTAGTAATAGCTAGTAATATCACTAGAAATTACCTTGGGGTCTTCACAAAGATATAGCCATGAATACTGTGTATGTTTCATTCTCATATGCCATGTGTTTTAGTGGTAAAATTTTAAAATAATCATGGCTATTTAAGGAAAGGTAACTTTTACATGGAGTGAAAGCATAAGAAACATCTTAAACTTTTTCATTTGAATCTCTCCTTAGAGTTTATTAAAATCCAACATCAAAATCATACATTAGAAAATCTATCTTAAGAGCTAATAGAAGCCAGGCATGGTAACCCACACCTGTAGACCCAGTGCTTTGGGAAGCTCAGGTGGGAGGATCACTTGAGGCCAGGAGTTTAAGACCAGTCTGGGCAATATAGCAAAACTTGTTTCTACAAAAAAAAAAAAAAAAAAAAAAAAAGCTGGGCTGTGGTGGTGCATGCCTGTAGTCCTAGCTACTCAGGAGGCTGAGTTAGGAAGACTGCTTGAGCCCAGGAGTTCAAGGCTGCAGTGAGCACACTGATC